ACAGTACCTGTGTAGGTGTCAATGGGATCTTCCTACCAGCAATTTCTCCAAATCCCTTCAAAACCTGATGTAAAGCCATATCATCCTCTACAACCCCTGACAAGGAGTTCCACAGCCTTTTATTCAGTATCTAAATAAGTAATTACTTTTGTCTGGTTTTGAAACCCTTGCCTGCTAGGAATGCTCATCTGGTGTCCCTTAACTGCTGTACTAGAAGAATGAACAGTCACTTCCTCTTCTCCCTCTCTTACATTCATTTTGGACACCACTGTTACACCCATTCCTCACTTCTCTCAAGTAAGATGAAAAGATGAAACAGTCCTAGCTTATTTAGGTGTTCCTCATATGGAAACTATTACATACCTTTACACCATTCCTGATTCCACTCATTGTACCTCCTCCATTTCACAGACACAAACTTTCCAGCTCAAAGAGTCCAGACAAACATAAAAATAGTTATGGATATAATGTGAACATCTGCAAGATGTATTGTGATGCATTTTTCACATGACTCACGGAAGATCAGAGGCAATCACTGCCTATGCCACACAAATTTACCTAAACTCCAATCTTCAGTCTATGCTTCTTAAGAGATCAGTCAAACTTATGTCTAAACTATTTGCAATTTCCAATACATGAGTAATCACCAAGGATTACAGTTTGTCTTTTAATGACATGCCTAAGTACGGGATTTAATCCTTTTCAGCATTGAATAGCATACAGACATTATTTCACAAAGTAACTTTTTAAACACAAATATTTGGGGAATCCTAAATGCTAACAGTCCTGCATGTGAGTCCCTCTCTTTCTGCTTTGCACATACAAAAAAAGCAGCAAGGGTAGCTAAAAATCAGATGACTAGATCCGATTCCTTCCTTTTACTGAAGCATTATCAGGAAAGCCTGTAACTTAGATAACTTGCAGGTAAGAATTGAAAAGCATATGAGCATTATTCCTTTCTTTTCTGACACTAAAATGACGTAAATGCTATAGTTCTCCAGGTTTCAAAGGAGTTTAGAAGACGACTGAAATTAAACCACGTGAGCAATAAAAGAGCCCATTGTTGTTTCATTGCCTGCAGAGTTCTTTTTTGTCACTGTAAGTGTATGTCTCATTTTTTCAGTAGATTTGTTCTTAAGTATTGCTGCTAAATCTCACAAGTTTTAGACGGGACCAAATAACTCAGTTTGATACAGCTCTACTGTAAAGGACAAAAACAAGTTGTGAGGCTGCTCACCGACTGGTTCACCTCAAAAGAGCTCAGATTTTAATGATGGCAGAGGTTCTCTATCATGAAGGTTCCTGAAGCTTCGCATTGTAAATCCTGCTGACAAGTTCTTGTATACTACGCAACTAAAACTGAATTTAAAAGAAGGATCACCTTTAAAGAAAGTTATGCACTGTTTATACAATGTCATGTCATTTTCAGATTTAAACACTCCTCTGTTCCTGAAAGAGCAGGACAGACGCAAGCAATAAGAGGAAGAGTTCATGAAACAACATTAGCAAGAATTATGCTTCAGCTCTAAGAGACTTTAAAGCAATACAATAAAAACAAAGCATGTCCAGAACAAGCAGGCCCAATCTAAAGCAGCAGACCATGTGACTGTCGTAAATGATAAAGCCCTACTTTTCCCCTTTATTTAAAGTTACTGTTGTTGGAGATTAGTCCAAGACATAAGCCTTGAATGACCTCACTAGACTTTTTATTTCATGCACTTGGGGAAAAGCAACAGAATTTGGTCTTGCCTGGAAGTGGAAGGGCAAATCTACAAGAATGAAAAATAAGAACTACTACAGTACGTAGCACTGTTGATCAAAAGCATGTAATAAATTCCCAACCTATCATCATTCACGTAAATAAAGCTCATCTACAACACAATGTGGGTCCCGAGACAGCTCCATCCACAGCGGCTTCCTCACCTTTCCTTTTCTGCTTGTTGTTTATTCTTTCCTGTCTGGCTTCTAGGTAAGTTCTAGGGAAACAGATGCAAGCATGACTTTCAAGTGACAAGAATTTTGCAAGTAAGAAGAAAAATGCTGGCACTAATAATTTTCATACACTAAGTAATAACTTGAGTAAATCCTAAGCCTGTTTGCCAATATTAACAAACAGATGGCAAAACAAATCAATACAACAGTGTAGAAATTCCATAGAGGACAACAAAACTGTCAGATGTCTGAAGCAAGTAAGCTTCCGAGAGCTTTACGTACATTACTGACGGGTGCTATGAACTTTTTAAAAGAAACAAAAAAACCCACAAGCTCCCAAATTTACTTCACTGTACAAATAGCAACATTACTTCCACACATTAACTGGCATCAACAATTGTGTGAGGGCTCCCTCTTCTGACAATGCTTTGGACAAACCTTAAAACTGGTCAGCCTGTACATGTCAGGGTATGTTGTTTTGGGGAAAAAACCTGGCTCACATGCATGATATTTATTTCCCATTAGTTAAGAAAGCTGAAAGTGTTTTAATCTTAAAGGAAAATAAACTTAAGCCCAAGAAACTGGTAATTATTGTTCTTACAAGGAAATCGATTTCAATCTTACAAGCAGGATTTAAAAATAATGCATATTTTGACTGTGTAACTTGGAAGGAAACTACCTAAAATAGGAAACGCAATGTAAGACTAGTATGAAAGCATTTAACAGACTAATAGATAAAGGTGAGCTGTGTCCAGAATCAGAAGATAAAATACCAAATGGTGCTTTATAATTTACCAAGCACAGACCTATTGAAGTAATATCTGAATACAGTGGCCTTAAATGAATCACCGAAATAGACACCATTAGAGTTGTGGACCCAGCTCCCTCCTAAATCAGACCACAGAATTCTTGGTTAAGAATGTATTGGAAGTCAATAGTGCCCAAGAATATAAATAGGTATTTGAGGATCTTAGACTCTGTTTTACTCTTTTAATATATATTCGTGACTATTTCTCCCTCTGTTGAGCTGCTGCCCCTCCCTTTGGGCTGATTACTCAAGCCAGCTTTCCTTTCAACCAACCCTCTCAACTTCTGCTGAGCAAACGTCACCCGAAACAGTTCCCTTGTTCCCTCAAAACCATAAGATAAAGAAGAAAATACACAAGCCAATGGTAAACCCTTAATCATTAACTGCCAAAGTTACACTTCACTACAACTAGTACATTTAGGTCATTTCCACAGAGGATCTCAACTTTTCACTCAATAGCTGCTCACTTAAGCAGATCGCAAACAGTCTTTGAAAGAAGATGCCTTGTTAATTTACAGAACTTGAAGAGTTCACACGTCCCTTAATAATAGAAGAGATTTAAACAGCTCTTTACAAGATGTATCCCCTCCACATGTTCTGTTCACTAAATTCAATATATTCCATAAACAAAGCCAGGGTAAGATTTTGCTCTTGTGGTCTACAAGAAGCCACTGTCTTACAGTGCTTCACTGTTCCTTATTTAATATACTGCTGCACACTCTTCACCTTGGTCTAAAAATCCATGTTTTGAAACAGCTCTCCTCCCTTTATCGGGGAACCTCACAAATAAATCATCATTCCCAGGTGACAGAAATTGCCTTTTCACCCTCAGTGAAAGATTGATGCCTGATACATAGTTTATTTCCCTATTGTTCCTCTCTTCTCTGGAGACAGCTGATATTACTTACTCTCCCTGGCTGATGATCTCTGAATCTAATCATCCATAGTTTCCGAACTCCCAGATGCACGATATGAACACATCAGGACAAGCTCAGTTGCATTTGTAGCAATACGATGAAAATCTGGTACATTCCTGAATCAGATTTTTAAATAAATAGTTTGCTTGTGCTTTAAAACATTCTAATAATTTAAATACGTATTCTTTAGTAACACAAGATTGAACAGTTGAACAGGCCAAGTTAATTTCAGTTAGTACAAGAGTCAACAGGAGCAAAGAAGCCAAATGTCCACAGCCTCTACCATCCAGCCATGACACCCTGAAAAACAGAGACCCCACAGAGGAGAGGAGGAAGCACTAAATTGGCAAAATGGGCAAACACAGTAGCTCTCATGGCTAGCAAATACGATATCACTGGTATTTGTATAGGTGTCTTCTGTCAGTAATAACAATACCATGTTGCATGCAAAACAAAACTCATTCTGTAAAACAGTAGTCCCCATATGCAATGGAAATAGGCAATAGAAAGAACAGGTCCTCTGATCACATGAATTAAGCAGACATCTATTTTAAACATACATAACTAACAAAATTAACTTCAAATCAAATTTAGTTTCCACTGAACCTTAATACAGCTTAGCAAGCCCCTCCCAAGAAAACAAGCACACGTGTTTTAAAAGCACTTCTGAGTTAGTGGAAGAAAAAGACAACAATTTCTATTGCATCTCATTTAATCTCCCATACTGCTTTAATTAGCATAGTTTCTGAACGTTAGTCAGGATGTACATTAATAATAGTCCAACTTGCATTTGCCACTGACTATTCAGTTTTCTTTTCCATCCTCTTCCAGGAAGGTAACATGAAGTCATAAAAACCACCCCAATCTTTCAAAGGCTCTACAGTTTAAATTCATCATCTCAGCATATAGCAAAATTTTATTGCTAGACCAGCAAAGCATGGTCTATACAAAACACCACTGTAATATAACATTAAAGTTTTTTAAAGGAGGAAAAAAAAAGCAACTTTTTAAAACAAGAAACCATTACACTGGAAATATTAATAGAATTTATTAATAAATCTGGTTATCATAAAACAGAGAAAAGGCATTTCTCACCTTACCTTCAGTAACCTCAGTTGTGCCTAAGGCACCCAAATTACCTGCTTAAAATTTAAAATGAATCCAGTTTATAAGTATAATTATCATTTCAACTGAAGTTACCAGCCAAATAACTGTCCATATAGATGATGACTGCAAAACCTTTACTCTTGAAAAGGGAAATAAAGCCAAAAGCACTGAGACATACAGACAAAGTAGTCACTTATATTTTACTTTTCTTCCCGTTTTGAATCAACTTGGTTTACCTTCTCACAGAAGTCGGTAAGAGCAGTGAAGTCCCATTTCTTGGAATAAGCAACGTTGTACCTCAGTATAGCCTCCTAGGGAAAGAGCACAACAAAACAAAGCTTAGAGATACTTATTAACAGAAGAAAAACCATCTTATGGAATTTCCTTTTTGAAGGAACAGTACCATCTAGTGGCTAAAGCCTGTCACAGAGCCTACCAAAATCCCTAAAATTGTATTAATACGGTGCGACTCCATGATACTGAATCCTGTATTTTAGGTTTAGCATTGAATAAGCTTTAGTCTACAGGTTTCTCCTCCTAGCACAAAACAAGATAAGGCATGCTGGGATCTGCCTACAACACACAACATAAACATTCCCCACTCCATGCTTGCTCTCTTTAAAAATACCAAGAGTGTCCCACAGCGATATAGCAGAAGTTTTACCAGTTTATGAACTTAAAGAATCAGAACCACGATGAAATTAAATAGGCCCTTTACAACAACAACCACCTTTAAAAAATTCTCAGGAAAAAATACCATATAAAATAGTATTATCAAGGGAAGTTTCATTAGTTGCCGGGGGAGCACTACTTATTCGTTTGAAGTTTATCTGTAGCTTTTGCATCCTCCTCCTTCCCTGCCTTTCAGGTATAATCTAAATTACATTCTTCTTCACAAAAAACATTACAGCAATTTTAAGCTGCTCCAAATCACAATTCATTAAAAGCCAATGAGAACTATAAGAGTTATCAACAGAGCATTAGTCCCCAAAATTTACAGATTTTTGTCAGCAGCTTGAATTGTTGCTATTTTAGTGGCGTATACTGGTGTGAACACTTACTGTTTCAAACTCTCTCACCTGCGCATCGCCCTACCATCTGGTTATGGAAAAAGCCGACACGTGACATTTACCGCAAACTAGTAGATACCGCTGAACAAACACAGCTTTGTGTAGACATATAAAAGACAATTCATTTTAATAATACCTAATAAATTCAGTGGTAACACTTAAGACTCATTAATTAAGACCCTTAATTCATTAGGGAATCCCTTGAACAGCATAGATTTTTTAAAATTAATCTTTGTAAGTGATTAAACCAATAGGACTGAACCAGAATCACTAACAGTACACGGAGAGCCTGAATATACTTATATGTATATAGACGATTTCAAATTGACAAGCTTACCTTCAAATCATGCGAGCAAGTAAATTTGTTAAGTAAGGCAGTTTGGATTAGTTCCCATCGACTTCCAGCAGTTCTATCTCCATTCTTTAAAACAAAAGCCCAAAACAAAGTCAGAGTTAAGTTATTCAAAACAGAAAGATGTATTTACTAATAATTGTCTTCCTTGCCACATTTTTTTTAAATAAGGTTTGCTTTATTTGTGAAGTTCTTTACTCAAAATATGTGGTTTACTTTTAATGTAAAGTACTTCTGCAACTTCGAGTCCACTGCATTTCACTTCCTTAAGAGTTCCTTTTTAATTGAAGCATTCACATATTCATAAAGAGCTCTTTTTCACACATGCAGCACTCTTCCTCATGCTATCTCAAGAGGGACAAAGAATTTTCAGTACATTTCTTGTGAAGAAAGTGGATTTTGCAGATAAAACATGATCACAGTTTATAAAATCCACGACTCAAAAACATAAACTGAACCAACTTTATAAAAAAGTAATATTAAGAACAATAAGGGCCAGATTATAAAAACGTATTGCTGGGGCTGACTCTTGCGCCAACCCAAATCTAAGACATCCTGTGATATTTTTCCTGAACAGAAAGTCTTATTGCCCATTGCAAGCAATAATGATATTTCATATGAGACTACCACAAGGGCAGAGACAATTCATCTTGCTCAACTGGCAAAGATCAACATTTTATCTCTGAAACATCAATTAATTTCATTTTGTACTGTATCTGTAAAATTGATAAATGAAAAGACTGAGAGTATTTCCTAGAGGCTATAAAAATTCCCTGTTCCAGATTCAAGTATCAAGAATCATTATAGCCTTCACTACAGGACACACTTGCTCATTTTATTCACCACAATTTAAAGTCTTTCAGTGGGTATGTTTAAGTAAGTCTTGAGCAGTGACAAGAAATACCAGATCAACAAACCATGCAGTGCCAACTCTAATCTCTCTGCCATTGTTTTAGCAGAACAGCAGACAGATACACCTCAATC